AGTTAGACACCACAAAGTGTCGAGAAAATGCACACTTGAACTTAAACGTCAATTGACGTGCAAAATTAAACACTTGTTTTACCAGTGTTAGAGCGCGTTGGGAGCCTTTGAGCCTCGCGAGTACGGGTTATTAATGTGTAAGACAGAGTATTACTAATTCAAGTTCCACATTTTCCAAGAAAGAAATCAAATATTAAGCTTTAAGCGGCCGAAAATGTTCGATGTGATTCGGACTCGAATTTTAGAAGATTCGATTCGGAGAAACTTTTATGAATTTCGATTCGTATTCAAAAACATCGATTTGCACAGCTCTTTCACCATGAAATTTTGCGTTTATTCTTTAACTGACACGGAACACCACCACTGTTGAAAGCATTTTGTGATATCCCAACACGTCTTCGATTCGAAGCAACTGTGAAACCACAACACTTCTCTGTAATCAGAAATAGTGTATTTTGTCATCTTAATTTGAAATAGTTCAGCACCAATCTGAATCAGCGAGAGTTGGGATATCTCAAAAAATGATGCTTTGTGAATTTCTGACTTTTTTGAAAATAGTGTACACCGTTGTTAAAGCGCTCCTTATCAAGAGTTTGTTCTGGAGCGCAATCTGCTACACTGAGAAAATGTTTTGGTGCCTGGCACTAAAACCTTAGTACCCAGGTCGAAAGTTTTTCGACGCAATTGTTTCGTTCTAGGGGCAAAAGGCGTCTTGTGCGCCGGCTTTGGTGCCAGGCGCTAAATAGAACAGGCAGTGGCGCTAAAGATTATGCACGTAAACTGGGTACGATGACAAGGACAAAATTGTTTGCTCCGACGTTACTGGATTTGGTCCAAACACTGCAGCAAGGGAGTGAAATTAAGAAATGGAAGAGTTGTTTTTCAATCGGAGGGAATAACCTTGCACTTTCCGTATACTAGAAGACACCTTTCAAAAATCAGCGCCAAATTATCAAATTGCGGCAAGTGACGACACTTTCATGCGGGGAGCGCTAGAAATCCAAGATACCTGCCCAAGCACCTAATGCTATGTGCGTGCACCCGAGGCACCCAGCGAGAGTACAAGGCAGGTATTTCGATAATGGTGCCATCTAGCGGTGACATCCGAACTTCTCAATCATTCATACTTCGTGCATCAAACAAAGTGCACCTTATCCTATAGCACCTAGCTCCTGGCTCTAAACCCCTTTTTAGCTACACCTTAGAACTTCTATTGGCCGGCACTAAACGGTTTGCCACAAGGACAAAGTGAGACGC